AGAGAGAGAGAGAGAGAGAGAGAGAGAAAACTTCATGTCCAGCCGGCCTGACGGGAACCGCTGTCCGGACGAGGGCATTTTGGGTACTTCCCGATCGAATTTTTTGATGAATTTTTTTGAGCATGTTCTTCATCAAGTCTAGTTTATCCATACCAAATTTCAGCTCAAAATTCGATCGGGAAGGCATTCAAATTATTTTTTGAAGTTGACTGCGTTTTTATATGTATATTTTGACGCAGTCAGCTTCAAAAATTTATTTGAATGCCTTCCCGATCGAATTTTGAGCTGAAATTGGCATGAATAAACTAGACTTGATGAAGAACATGCTCAAAAATTTTCATCAAAAAATTCGATCGGGAAGTGCCCGAAATGCCCTCGGCCGGACGGCGGTTCCCGTCAGGCCGGCTGGACAAGAACGGGACTCTATATATATACACACACACACACTAGCAATGTACGCACTACGTGCGACTGTTGCTCAATGTATCAATTCTGAACACTGAACAATTCCATATTATGCAGATATAATTAAATTAGGTGAGTAAAAGATTATAATGAATAAGACTGTAAGAAGCTTAAATAGAACTCTATTTTTTACTCAGTTTGTGAAGTTGTGTTTTTCTGATAAATTGATTCCCATAAAAGCAATGTCATTTTGTTTAGAAAGCATGCTGTATATAAAAAAAGCATTTATTTTGGATAAAGATATATAATGTTAACTATTAAAGTAGATAAAGAGTGATAAAAGACTTGTTGAGTGAACTATGTACATTCCAGGATGAAGAAAGAAGAAAAACAAAGTCGTCTTTGAAGTAGAAGAGAACAAAAAGAATAGATGTGATGTTCCTCTAGCCTATTTAAATTTTTTGTAATCTGTAGCTAGCTAAGTCAGAGTTGTTATTAAGTGACCCTGGTGAATTGTCAAAATAATCTGTTCTTATGAAATTTTTATTGTTTAATTGTTTTGCAGGATGGGGTTTTGATAGCAATGTTAAACAAATGGATACTTCAAGGAATGCTTCTTAGATTGACGACTTAATCTTGTTCATTATGTCATTTATCATCTACAAGTATATATTTTTATATTCTAAAACAGTGTAAATAAATTGACACAAAGTGAGTTGAAACACACAAACATCATATTGTTACAATTTTTATCAAAGTCAAAGGATTGGATATGGAGAAATACTTTTATTGTACAAGTGCGCCTCATAATATTTTATATTTATGTCCGTCATTTAAATTTGCTATAAATATGAGGGTAGCTATAAATATTTTGTGTTGCACAAGTATTACTTTGGGCAACAAATATTTTGTGTTGCACAAGTATTACTTTGGGCAACAAATATTTTGTGTTGCACAAGTATCACTTTGGGCAACAAATATTTTGTGTTGCACAAGTATCACTTTGGGCAACAAATATTTAATTCATCACATAAAATACAATGGGCCATGATACTTAGGCAACGATCTCGTGATGATATTAAGTTAGTTGCACAAGAGAATGGGCAACAAGAATGTAGCTTTTAGTGACGAAAAATTTTGTTGCACAAAACTATTTTTCTTGTAGTGATCTGTGTGGGCGAGCGGGTTGATAAATTTTGCTTTCCAGGGCTATCAGTTTACCTGGGAACGATGGAGAGGGTCTCCGAACTGGGTGGAGGAGAAACTTGATAGAATTCTGGTTTCAGAAAGCTGGCTTGATATTTTTGGGGCAGTGGTTGCTGAATCACTTAAAGGGGCACCCGACGATCATCTGGCTCTCTTTATTAAATTAATTCCTATGCAAAGCTTTCGCCGGAGACGGAATTTTAAATTTGAAAATGTCTAGTTAAGAGAAGCGGACTGTCAATAGATGGTTGCTCGTAGCTGGGGATTGGGCCGCAACTTGGGTATTATGAGATAAATATATTCTTGTAGTAAAGCAGTTTGGGGACTGGGGCCATAGTAAGTCTGACTCTCATGGCAAGCACATTAATTTTTGCAAAAAAAAAAAGATTAGCATTTTTGCACCAAAGATGGGATCCGTGGGAGTGAACAAGTTTCATAGGGTGAAACAGGAGTATCTTGAGCTTCTACAGAAGGAAAATATTTTTTTGAGACAAAGAGCTAAGGACTTCTGGCTACAGGGGGAGACCTTAATACCCGCTATTTCCATAATTCGGTGAAACATAGCCGACACAAGAACAAGATGGAGGAGCTTAGAAGACGACCGCTGGGAAAGTGACAAATCACAAGTGGGTAAATTGGTTGGAGACTATTTTAATAAATTATTTACTGTGGGTAGTGTCGGGGCTGATTTTGTGACAGATGTGTGCAATGACACGTGGATGACCGGCATAACCACAACCTCTTAGGCTCTATTCGAAGCGAGGAAGTAAAAGAAACGGCTTTTGATATGTAATCATATGTTTCCTGATAAATCTCCTAGACTGGATGGATTCAGCCCAGGTTTTCATCAACAATTTTGGGATGTTGTGGGCACAAATATCGTCAATTTTTGTAGGAAGGCCTTTGAGACAGGTAAGCTCCTGGACTTTATTAATCATACTAATATTGTTCTTATTCCAAAAAAGGATAAACCTGAATCTCTTAGCGAATGGAGACCGATTGTACTGTGCAACGTGATCTATAAAATTTTCTCTAAAGTGCTTGCTAATCGTATGAAAAACCTTCTTCATTTGTGCATTTCTGAGCAGCAAAGCGCTTTCATACCTGGTAGATGCATTGTAGATAATATTATGCTCGCTTTTGAGCCTCACCATTTTCTAAAATGTAAGCGTCAGGGGAAGGTGGGCTAGATTGGGCTCACACTAGATTTGAGTAAGGCCTACGATCGGGTTGAGTGGCCCTTTCTGGAGAGTATGATGAGGAATTTGGGTTTTCATGAGAGGTGGATTGCGTTGATCATGGAGTGTGTCACATCTCTCTCGTATTCCATTCCTTTCGATGATGGGGTGATTGAGTTGCTTGCACCGAAGAGGGGATTACGACAAGGAGACCCTCTATCTCCTTATTTGTTCCTACTTGTGGTGGAAAATCTTAGCGCCTTACTTCGCAAATATGAGTCGATTGGCAGGCTGCATGGGGTTTCGATTGCTCGTGGGCCCCCAATCATCTCACATTTTTTTGGCATATGACAGCTTACTTTTCTTCAGAGCATCCCATGACGAGGTATCGCTGATCAAAGAAGTGCTGGCTGATTATGAAAAAGCTTCAGACCGGGTAATTAATTCCGATAAATCGAAGGTATTTTTTAGTACAAATGTCGAGATGGGTTACCGTGAAGGTCTGATTGAATTATTAGGAGTTGGGTTGGCAGGGGAGGAGGAGAAATATTTGGGTCTGCCTGCTCTGGTGGGAAGAAATAAGAAAAATATTTTAAGCTACCTCAGACAGAGAGTGATCACAAGCATTATTAATTGGAATAATAAATTCCTTTCTAAGGCATGAAGGGAGGTTCTTTTGAAGGCGGTGATCCAGGTTACGCCAACTTACTCTATGATTTTTTTTGTTACCTGTTGATTTGTGCCGAGAAATTGAAAATGTCATGAATGGGTACTAGTGGAATGGTAAGGCAGCAAAAGGGATTCACTGGAAGAATTGGGCGTCTCTCTGTACTCCAAAAAAACTGGTGGGTTGGGTTTCAGAATACTCCAAGACTTTTAATATAGCCATGTTATCTAGGCAAGCTTGGAGAATCTTTACGAACCTGGACTCATTGGTGGGCAGAATTTTTAAAGGGGAATTTCTTAATGCTAAACCGGGAAGTAATCCTTCCTTTATATGGCTCAGTCTGCTTCACACTCAGGATATTATTAGGGAAAGCTATTATCAGAGGGTGGGAGACGATCACTCCATTAATATTTGGAAGGAACCGTGGCTCCCAAATAGAGAGAATCTGAGGGTTATCTCGGAGAAGTGTGCGGGATTGCAAGAGGCAGTGGTGGCTAATCTGTTTGTCACAAATCAAAGAGAATGCGATTTGGATATTATTGGTGATATTTTTGGTGCCAGAGATGCTGCTATTATATGGGGACTTCCGCTGAAGAGGAGTCCTGTAATGGATTCTCTATGCTGGAGATGGGAGGAGAACAGACAATTCTCGGTGCGCAAGTGCTATCGAAAACTGGGGGGAAATTTTGGAGCACATTCGGAACTGGAATGGACTACTATGTGGGAGTGTAAACTTCCTCCTAAACTCAAAATGTTTTTTTTGGCAGGTTTGTAGCGGTCTGTCTCCCTTCGAAATTAAATTTGCAGACTCGTAGAGTGGATTGCATGGGACTTTGTGGGCTATATGGAGTTGCACCTGAATCTCTGGAACACGTGGACAATGAGAGAAGACATTCCTTTTCTGGACCAAGTTAATAAGGAATTCTGGATGAAGAAGAAAGAGGACCTGGAGGGATCTGGGGTTGTTGGGTGCTATGATGAGAGAGGAACCAACGAGTATGGGAGGGGAAGACTTCACTGGCGAGACAGTTGGTCCAAAGTGCTCGAGCATGGTTGATGGATGGAAGCAGGCGCATGTGAAGTTAGGCCGAGGAATAAGAAAGCAGGCTATTCCACATAGCCGATCTTCCTGGTGTAGACTGTCCTTAGGCTTCTGGAAACTGAATGTCTACGCGCCAACTCAGGCGTGAAAAAAGTGAAAAGTGAAAAAAGTGAAAAGTGAAAAAAGTGACACTCCCTCCATGGCTCCATCCCTAATAACTTTGCCAAGTTTGACCGGCACAAGGATTAATAAAGTAAAAAATATGTGCTTGTGGTTTGTGCAGAAGAGAGAAAATTAACTGGAATCACAAATTCTTAGCTTAAAAGAGAAAATGACAAAGTTAATGAGACGTCCAATAAAGAAAAATTGACAAAATTATAAGGGAAGGAAGACATATTTCTTTCACTTTTAAGCTTACTTGTGAAGTTTTCCCATTAAGTCCATTATCTATCATATGGCCCAATAAACAATCCATCACTTCATGTAATAAAACAACCCAACCCAATGTCTACCCTGCACCTTACCCGACCTGCCACTCCCTCTGATATCACCGATATCAATTCTTTCTCTGTACTATAGCCACCCCCTCCTCCGATCCCACACCGGCAGAGATTTATACCCGCTTCCATGGATACCCCGCCAGCCTCCTCTTGGCTAATTAGATAAAGAGATCTCATCTACTATTGAATCACGTTCGTCGATCTACAACAGAAAGACGCAAAGCACCGAAGATCTTCCACCTGTTAGCACCGAAATCTCCAGATCGGTAGGTTTTCATATGGATTTATTTGTTAAGTGCATGTTTTTGTTTCATACCAATCTATCCTAAAACCCAAAGGTCCGGTACTGATTTCATTTTTCATTCTTCGTTGATGATATCGAGTGAGGGTTCTTACTCACGAACAACTTGACGGCCATTAAAGTTAAGTTTTATTTTTTTAAGAAAATACGTTTCTCGTTTTTCCTAATCACTGTGAAAGTCGTTAGATTAAAAGTGTTTTTATTTATTCTTTTTTACTTGGACTGAAGTTTTTCAGTTTAGACCAGAAAATTTCAGTGTAAAAACATCCTTAATTGCTGTAAGTAACAATTTTGGGTAACCATCAGTGTGCTGGGTCTTTAACTCTTTACTGTGTTTGACTTCAACTGGATACTCAAATAGATTGTTATTCCTTAACATTCCGTTCTTACTTTACTGAAATTAAGAGCAATAGTAATAGTAATTAGTCACTAACTAATATGACTCACGTTTAAATTAAAACAGTAGTGACCCCCCTAAATGTAATGTTTTTCGATCGTCATCTCAGTCAAACAAATTTATGCTAGTTGCTGAATTTTTATCACCCTAAATCAAACAGACTGTTATTCTTTACATCCTATTCTCACTATAAATACATTTCAACTAAATTAACTGTTTTACCATAACCATTGAAAAAACTAACATAGTAATATAAATACTACTCCGTACTACATATATATGGAGTATGGTTTTTCTATAATTAAGGAGCAAACCTGTCTAACTAATTTAACTCTCCTTACAGTACGCACACATGAACTAACACCAAGTAGAAATAGTAACTGAAATTTGAAAAATACTGCGCTGTTTATATATATTAACTGCGCAGTTATCTTCAAAAAATTATTTGACTGCCTTTCCGATAGAAATGTTTAGCTGAAATTTGGTATAGATAAACTAGACTTGATGAAGAACATGCTCAAAAAATTTCATCAAAAAATTCCACCGGGAAGGTCCCAAAATGTCCTAAGTCGGACGGCGGTTCCCGTCAGGCCGGCTGGGCAAAGGATTATATATATATGTATGTATGCAAACAGGGAGCGGTTCCAATGAGAACCATCCTTAACGTGAGAACTGTTAAAGCATTTGTCCTACACCGGAAAGCTATAAAACAATTAAACACTATATAAGGCTTCGGGCTACTCCTCCTATCAAGTTGACCTTTTAGGATGGAGTCCCGTGTCTTAACATGGTATCAAAGCTTTTATGAAAAATGATTATCCGATTATAAAAAAATGCTATATTAAGACATAGACTACTCCTCCTATCAGGTTGACCTTTTAGGATGGAACCCCAAGTATTAACAAGAATCTTGCTCTTTTAACACAACTTGGTGCACTATGAGCCTCATGTGTTACACGTTTTAAAATTTAGTCAAAACATGCCAACATCAAATAAATGCGGTGGTGGATTCGTAAAAATTTTGTCAACCCGAAAATGTGCAACGTATACATGTTATAGTGCATCACATTTGCTTAAAATTGGGGTTCTCACGTTCTCACGTTCTCACGTTAAGCATGGTTCTCATTTGATGCTAAGTCTATGTATGTGTGTGTACACACACACACACACATATATGACTGTCACTAGAGTTTGTATATTTTCCAACTCTACATCACTACATGGATGGCTCGATGAGTGCAATTTTTTATAAGTTAAATGTATAGTTTTTATATATATACTACCTCTGTCCCGTTGAAAGGTTCCTATTGCAAAATGACACGGTTATTTAGACAATAATTAAATAAGGTAATTTGAGTATATCTTGAGAAGGAACTATGATACGTATATGGTATAACTGTGATGTTATAGATGTATTATTTTTAATATATATATATATATATATATATATTTAATTTAGTTATCATTTAAGAGTTTTAATTGTTTCCCAAAATAGAAATGAGAACCTCTATATGGGACGTCCAAAAAAGAAAGTGGGAACCTTTATATGGGATGGAGGGAGTATTATTCTTTACCAAATACCAATTGATTAACTTTATGTTATTACAATGTCAGTAGTTGATTAATGCTTCTATTGGATATTTATTGGTTTAGGCTTGAATGAAATTGGGAATCTTTATTCATGGGATGCCCTATTTGTTTATATGTATTTTTTATTTAGCAGGAGCTTGTTTAGCTAATAGTGTTTGTATGATCGATTTTTTATTCAATCGCTATAAAATATTTAGTTAGACTTCACTTTATCTTTAAATGATGTTCTCTTTTGCTAGCAAAGATAGATACATAGTATAATGCAATCAGAGAGAATTCTCGAACTGCCAATTTAGTCAGCATACAAGTAATGATTCTTTTTCTGGAAGTGCAGATCATTATTGTATCAAAATGAACACAAAGATGGAGGATTCAAAAACTTCGAAAGAGCCTGATGATGTAACTGAAGTGGGTGATGACTCCGACGATGAAGAGGATGATGTATGTGGCATTCATCATTTTTGTAATCATCCCTTTTCAGATTGTTTTATTCCCTAGGAGTTGACAGGGATTCATCATTTTTGTAATCTTCCCTCTTTAGACTTTTTTATTCCTGAGGGGTTGACATGAATGGACTAGGAGGTTATCCATACACCTTAATGGCTAATTTGCTCTTCAATATTTTTCTCTTTCTAATGTATGGGGAGGTGGTTTTTTATGGGAAAAGTATTTTACTCACCAACTGTAGAGGATTTCATTTATACCATTTCATCCTTTGTTTCAAATTACCTCCGCTTTTTTGTTAGGAAGCATCAGTCAGTCTATGCAATTTTCTATGCAATTTTCACTATGGTCATCTGGAAATAGTCTCTCTGTGCTTTAGTACAGAGGTAAGACTGCGTACATCTGACCCCCTTACCCCACCGTAGGTGTGGGCCTTTGTAGCACTGGGGTAATGATGATGATCCTTTGCTACATAGTAATTGTACATTAGCATTTGCTCATGATGTTCCACCTTTTTTCTACTGCAATTATATTCTACTATTCTCTGAGCAGTTGAGTTTTTTATTTTGCCGAAAACAGGTAAAGGTTTGTGATATATGTGGGGATGCTGGTCGGGAGGATTTGCTTGCAGTATGTTGTAAGTGTACTGATGGAGCTGAACATACGTAAGACTTGAAGTTGGTTTTCTTGTTCATATATTATCTACCATTCATGTAGTGCTTTTTATGACAAATGAAATTGGTTGTTATCATAGTTATTGCATGCGAGTGATGATTGAGGAAGTCCCTGAGGGAGATTGGCTCTGTGAAGAATGCAAGCATGAAGAGGACTTGAAAACTCAAAAGCAAAACAAAACTTCTAAGGTTGATGGATATGATAGCACTTATCCTTTTGGACAAACAGCCATTATCGGTTCTGATCATCCTGGTAAGGTAGAACCAATATTAGGCTCTAATTTAATTGGAGAAACTCGTATAAAAGAGTCTTGCTATCAGATAGCCTTTGTCAAGACTCAAGAGTCACATGGACAACAACAAAATTTCTTCGCCACAAATATCGAAATTCTCGAATCTATTTCAGGTTCAACAAGGGAACAAGGCTTTATCAATGTTGCTTCACTTTCTCGTGAAAGCTCATTTAAGAACTCTGAGAAGGGCAAACTGAATGTATATCCATTATCTACGGGTGAGCTTCTGATAAATTGGCCAAGTAGTCATGTTTCATGTTTTCATCTCTTTAGTTAGAAAACGTTCCCGAGTTAGTAAACATCCACACCCTCAAAGTATTTTGCCTCCCCCACTTTACCCTCACAGTCAAGGGAAACCATTAGTTCAACCTTCTTTGGTACCTTGGTGAGCACATAGTAATAAATTGGAAACGTTTTTGCAGGTGCATTTTCAAAACCCAACTTATCCAGCTCCCGGATTCACAGCCCAAAAGTCAAACTTGTTGATGGTGTTCTTCCTTCAAAGCGGAAATTGGTGAAGGGAACTGCTTCCACTAAATCAAAAGGGGGCCCCTTAAGATTAATGGGAAAATCACAATCTTTTAAATCCACCAGCTCAAGTCGTTTTTGTGATTCTGAATCAATAGTCGAGGTACCATCACCTAGATTTTCTCATGATGAGGATACAAAAGGGCAAAAACATACTAAAGAAGACAGTTCATTTGAGAGGAAAAGTTTTCGCAGATCAGAAAGTATGGCTAGTTCTCCCATTTCTTCACTCATATTTTATAAGAGAACAACACCCAACTGTTCCCCTTCCCTACCATATTCCATGAGCACGAACTTGCTAAGTTCTCAGTAAACTTATACGGAGTCTATTATTGGAATTATAATGTAGTGTCTACTAATATGTTTATTTAGAGCCCGTTTGGCAAGGCATCATATGGCTAAAAATGACTGAATTTGCTAAATTGTGGGCGCATCGGTTAAATTGGCATATTATGTCGTACAAACTAAAATGCTTGTTAATTAAAAATATGAATTTAAAGAAATTGTATCAAACTAAAGGGGTGTAAGTTCCATTTCATTTAGTTCGATTTATTTGAGCCAAAAAAGTAACTTCCATACTACCTTTTTCATTATCAGAGCCATTGAAATAAAATAATTTAGTTTATGGTGAAAATACGCTGATCAGCCAAAACAAATAATGAATTTCTATCGATATCAGGAGAATTCAATAAAGAGGTGTCTTGTTTTGATGGAGATTCACCTGCCAATCCAAAGGATGATTCCTCCTCAGAACAACTCGGCATGGTTGATAAATCTATTGTGGTTGAGGCACCTCTTGTAAAAAAATCAGGAGAGGCCATGATTAGCCCCTGTGATTTGAAAGCTGCAATTGAGGCTGCTATGCTCAGGAAGCCTGGAATTTGCAGGAAGAATAAGGGTATGTTTGGATTCCAATTTCCAACTTCAGTATATGTTAAGGATATTATCATGTGTTCAGTTTTAGCACTGAAAATGCAAAGGAAAATGAAATTTAATAAATATTTATTTATTTTATGTTTAGATTTCTTAGTCTTTATATAACACATGTTCAAGTCTCTAGAGTAGCCTTTTCTCGAAGTGCCAAGGGAAGGCTTTTCCCCTATACACCCTTGTGGTGGGACATTGGGACCCTTCCCCGAACCTTTGCTTTGCTAGGATGCCAATGTGACCAGGCTGCCCTTTTTCGTAGTCTCTATATAACATAAATATATTAAACAAGATGGGTTTGAGCAACTATAAAAAAATATTAGTTCGATAAATAGATTTATTTCCCTTGCCTTTTTTTCTTTCCAGATTTCTCCATATTTGCCTCATTTTCTTTCCCTGCGGACTCTAAGTTTCCTGATAACTCTGAGATTTTTTTTTTGCAGTGAACATGGACAAGGAAGCTTCTGCTCAAGATCAAATACCTAGTTCAGAAAACAAGAGAAATCTTAAAGGTCTGGTAAATGTTGATGCACTAGCAATATCGGTGCTTCTGAAATCAGCAATTCCAGAACATCAGTACATATGGAGGTATGAGTCTTTAACCTTTTTAGTTTGATGCCCGTGATTTATTGCCTCCCCTTCAACAATCTGTGTACATCTCACCTTCTCCAGACCCTATTTCCTAGTAGGATATCTTGAGTATGTTTTGTTTAATATCAACGGAAGTTGTAATTTAGGGCTTGTTTGGTTGGGGATTTTGGAGGGGAAGGGGGATTGATTTCTATTTTACAAATTCATCTCTATTTAGTTAGTTTTAGATTGAATATTAAATATATATGTGCAATTGAATTCATAATTGGGCTGGAATCTCTCAAATGAGGTATAGTGCAGATTCACAAGTCTAAATTAGTTACTCTAACAGAAGACCATACCAGCCCATTTGACCAATCTAATATTTTGATATTGTACTATTAAGTATTAACTACGGAGTATTTAGTTGGATAAATCATGTAATTCTGTATAAATTTTCATCTTCATTTTTTTCCCAACCATCTAAATGTAAGAAATAAATTTAAAAAAATATGACATTTTCCTGAAATTTCCCACATCAAAATAAGGACTTACCGGAAGATGCATATGAATTCTGCACGATTTTTCTTGTGTAGTGGAGATTTTGAGGTTTTCAAGAGTGGGAAAAAGCTAAATCTATGTGACGGCATTCAGGCTCATTTAGCAACTTGTGCATCTCCTAAAGTTGTTGATGAAGTTAGGAAATTCCCTTGCAAGGTGTTGCTTAATGAAGTGTCCCGTTTGAGTACCTGGCCTCTTCAGTTCCATGAGTTTGGAGTCAGAGAAGATAACATAGCCCTCTTCTTTTTTGCAAAGGACCTCCAGAGGTATCATTCTTTTGATCTCCTTCTCCTGGGACTATTCCCTCTATCCCCAAAAACGAGTTATTTTTTAAAAGTTTTATTATTATCCCTCTGATGTGACTTGTTAAATCCTCCTGAAGGTTTACCTTGTGGTTAACTTCAGTTCCCGCAGGATTATTCAGGCAATGGTCCGAGACACCCTGGTTAAACAAAAAACAATTCTTCATGCATTTTTCCAGAAGTAAAGACTAAAGAGTTACTAGCAAGTTAGGATAAGATAAGTTTAGTTAGAGACAACAAATAAATTTTAAAAATATATGTAGTAGGGTTTCATGACTTTTAAGAGTTGTAGCTTGCCAAAATTTAAAACCCGTACCTTGACTAACATGGAGTATGTTTTAAGTGTTCGTCTTTGTTGCTTTCATCTAGAATGTTCCTTTTTATTATGGTGCAGTTATGAGAATAATTACAGAGTGCTGATTAGGAATTTGATGAAGCATGACCTAGCTCTTCAAGGGAACTTTGGAGGCATTGAGCTGTTGATATTCCCGTCGAACCAGCTTCCTGAAAAATTCCAAAGTAGGAACAATGAACACGGTTCTTGATATTTCAGTCACGGTCTAATCACGGAAGACAGCCCCCTTAGTACGGATTAAACAGATTATTCCAATCAATTTTCCAATAGTATATAGTGTACTTTATTGAGCAATGGATATATTTTCTTGCCAGCTGAGGGTTCATTCAAATGAATAAATTTTGTTATGTTTGAAAAATATTATTGATATTCCTAAGGTTTTGTTTGGACCACAGAAATGCTAGGAAAAGAATAAAATGCCAAGGAAAGTAATACTACGTAATATTTTGTTCAGTTTAAAATACACAGAAAAATGAAATAAATTCAATTTTACCCGTTAGTACTTTTGACTTTTGACATTTAATCATAAGTTCTTTTCTTCATTTGTTATTTTCTTCTTACCTGATATATGCAGGGTGGAATATGATGTTTTTCTTATGGGGCGTGTTCAGAGGGAGGAAGGTGAATGAAAAACCACTGACTAGAGACATTCCCAGTGCTTCACAAGTATCTAAATGTGCATCTTCACATACAGAGGTAAATTGGTTCTGCATTATGGAATTACTTTTAGTGCGGGGTGGATTAATTTAATTAATGGAAGATTTATTTGAATAGTGAATTTGGGAAACTAATTCTAAAAAATGCAGTTTCTAATTTTACAAAGAAATCTGTTTTGAAAAGAATTATCAAATAATAAAAAAACTTATTTGTAATATTTACGCTTACTTTATTTTATGAAAAATGTAAGATTATATTCAAAAAATTATTCAAAATCTATATGGTTGGATGCTGACGAGTGATTACTATGTTAATGTGTCGTTATTAGGTTGTTGAATCTCCAAACACTGTGCCCAACACAGCTTATGTAGAAAATAAATCAATCTATTAGCAATTATAACAAGGCGTCATTGACTAGTTTGCCCTCACACCACAAATCTACTGTCCAAGGAGCTCATTTGGCGGTGACTGACAACATGGATATAGACACTACTTCCATGAATACGCAATTCTGAGAAGCACATTCGGCCAAGGAGCTCATTCGGCCAGAATATTTTTGCTGATGAAGCACATTACAACAAGAAAGAGAAGGAAGCCTACATGCAATGACCAAATTAGTTTTAACATCCGGGGTTTAATGAGATAAATACATATGTATAGCGAGGCAAGACATCAGCTACCTTCCTGACTGTGGAAAGGCACATAGGATGCTAAGAGACCTAGTCACATAAGCCTTTATTGACTCCACAATACGTCCCCATGTCTCATCCCGGTTGGGGGGGGGGGGGGGACTCGACGCTTAGCTCGGAAACAATAGATAAATGCAGAGCTGTTGTATTTCTAGGGCGAAGCTTGCTTTTTAGGTGGGGGGCTGTGAATAACAAATGATGGGTCATGTATTTACAAAAAAACATTATTGTATAATTATCCTCTTGAACAGGGGTGTATGTCCGCATGCATGTATGGCCGCTGCATTATAATTTTAAACTTTTAGCTTAGCTGTTTCTGCTCTCCTCATAGGGTTTGTCACTTTGTTGTATAGAGGAGAGAAAGGATTAGTCACCCTGATCTTCAGTTGATGTTTCTTTGTCATTCCAGCTTCCCGTTCTGACTTCTGAGTGTACTGTCCAAACGCATCATCATGCATTATATGTGTACTACACTACTACCTGCTAAAAAGGATAGACCACCTTCTAAATTACTCTTTCCATAATTAATGAAAAAACTAAAATGTTTCAGACGGTGTAATTGATATATTGTACAGTCACACAGATTCTCATTTTGCCTAAATAAATACTCCCTCCGTCCCAGGGAGAAGTTCTCGGGTTGACTTTCACACATATTAAGGGAATAAAGTTACTGAGGGGTAAATTTTACTGTTTGGCACTGTTTCGACATTGTCTCGACACTGTTTGACACTGTTTTGATGTAGGATAACTTTCCATTTAGGAAAATGAGAACTTTTTGTTGGGACTGCCAAAAAAGGAAAGTGAGAACTTGTCCCTGGGACGGAGATAGTAACTTTTTAACATTATTCTACTCAGATTCAATTGAATAGACTAGTATAGTATGATTACATACACGTTCCGGCAGTAAACAAATAAGGTTTATCTAATATGGAGTATATTTTGAGAAGCAGTTTTGATAGGTATATAATACAATGAGATCATCAATGATAATCGTGGAGTTATAAATGTATTATATTCTGTACTTAATTATTTACTTATACAGTATAAGTAAATAATGTTTGGTTGTGAACTCGTGATGTTAAAAAAAGATAACTAAGAACTAAGAAGCTCAACTTTTTTCTTGGGATAAGCCGATAAGGCTCAAATGAGACATTATGGTTTCATGAGAATCTCATATTAGACATTAAGTTTTCAAAATAATCAAATTGGACACTATAATTATATATGTATCTCATATTGGACAATGAAGTTTCATAATTCATATTTAGGAAAAGGGTCAGATAGGCCCTCGAATTTACATAAATAGGTCAATTAAGCCCTTATATAGGAGGTTCTGTCCGGCCGTCGCTATTTGGGGCGGTTCCCGGTTGATTTTTTTCAAGAAATTTTTCGAGCATCTTATTCATTAAGGCTAGTTTACTCATACCAAATTTCAGCTAAAACTTCAATCAGGAAGGCGTTCAAATGAATTCTTGAAGATAACTGCGCAGTTAAAAGCGCAGTTATCTTCAAGAATTCATTTGAATGCATTCCCGATTGAAGTTTAAGCTGAAATTTGGTATGAGTAAATTAGACTTAATGAATAAGATACTCAAAAAAATTGATCAAAAAAATATACCGGGAACCGCCCCAAATGGCGACAACCGGACAGAGCCTCCTATATAAGGGCTTATTTGACATTTTTATGTAAGTTTGATGGTCTATTTGACTCTTTTCCCTTCATATTTTTTGGTCACTGATTTATGGTTCTCTTCTTCCTTTAATAAAAATCGTTAGTATTATATTTCATTTCCTTTTTGCCTTTTTGGTGAAAATAAACTAATCTAATTACATATATATTGGAATATGAAATTTGAAGTTTAGAACATATAATTTGATTTTAATTAATAACTTCTTATGATTTTTATGGAACTTAAAGAGATATCGGTTTGTTAAATTGATTTAACAATATTAAAAAATTCAATTACATTATACTCCTTCCGTTCTTTATTATCTATCCCGCTAGCCTTGGACATGGGTTTTAATAATAAAGTACTAGGGTAAGTATAGATTGTGTAGGCTAAATGATAAAGTAGGAAAGAAGGTATATTAAAAAGAGTAAAGTGATGATAAAGTAGGAAAGATAGTGTATTATGTAGAGTAAAGTGATGATAAAGTAGGGAAGAGAAAGTAGTTTGTAAAAAGTAAGTGAGGTAAAAGTAATAAAAGTGAGGGTATTTTAAGAAAAATTTTCCTTAAATGGAAAGGAGGACAAATAAAAAAAAACATCCCAAAAAGGAATGCGAGATAGATAATAAAGAATGGAAGGAGTACTATGTAATAGATTTTCTTAATTGAAAAATCTAATTATATACTCCGTATTCTAAATCTAAATACACTAATTAAGTTATTTTTATTTTGTAGGTACATAAAACCAAGAGAAAATGGTATATTTATAGCTTTCGAGGTGAAAATCTTTGATGGGTGCTAAAAAATGATCAGAAAAACGTAAAATTTGATCTATTTGAAACTTTATTGTCCAATTTGAGATACACAAGTAACCATAATGTCCAATTTAGTCCATTTGAAACTTTAGCGTTCAATATGAGATTCTCATATAACTATAGTGTTCAATTTGACCCTTATCTCTTTTTTCTTTTAACTTTACATTGAGTTCAAATATATCTCACGTTATTAAACTGAGGGACATCTCCCGAAGATGGCAAATTATACCGTACGACCGGCATATCATGCGCATGGTATGCCGAGTCTGGTACGGCACCATTTTGCTAATTAAAATCAATCCGAAATCCTCCTCTCCAATCCTTTGGCCAGCCGCGAGTCTTCTTCCTTCTCCGTCACTGCTGCTGGGTGCTTCTGCTTCGTTTTTTTCTCCTTTTCAATTCCCCCACGCAAAGAACCAAAGACTACCTCCTCCCCACCCAATTGTCATGTAGTCCGTATGGGATCTGCCATAATATGATACATGTCCACATGCAAATTTGTCTTTACATTGAGAACAAAATTTTATCCATAAAAAATAACATAAACACATTTATTGGTCAAATAAAATAAACATACCATATGGAAAAATGATTTTTCTTTAAAACATATTTAATTTAAATTAGTTGAACAATTAAACTTCTTATTTTCATTGTTTACATTTGATATTATATGAAGTTACATTTTCTTCTGCGCAAGTTACATCTTAATGTAAGCGAGTTACATCTAAATATATGCGAGTTACATCTTAATGTATGCGAGTTACACCACTGAATAAACTCCAGCTATATCATTTTTATTGCCCTAATATTAAAAATAAAACATATTCACCATTTATAAAAAGTAATTAAGCTATTAGGATCAATTTTTCATTGTTAACATTGAAATCAATGTTTATAATATCTCAAACAAAAAAAATCATTGTTCAATTTTCCAACAAGTTACATTCTGTATACACCCACGTTACATTTGGCATCAACGCGAGTTACATTTGTAATAACACGAGTTACATTAAAAAATCAACCCCTGCTATTGAAACAAAAAAATGATCTTTTCTAATTTTTTTTATAGCCATGATATGAAAAACAAAACATATTCACGTTTAACCTAAAACAATAGTGCAATTAGACTCTTTTTTTTCATTGTTTACATTGAAATCAAAATTTGACAAATTACATTTTGGATGTGCTAATTGAGTTACATTGATCAATAATGCGAGTTACATATCTTTACACACGAGTTACACCATCCATGTTACTGGAACAAAAAAGTCACAGTACACGCATGTACTGTTCACGCGTGTACTGTTCACACCGCCACACGTTTTTTTTTTTAAATTTGTCCAAAACTACATCGTTTTGGGAGTGAGTGTACGGTGCTCATGGTGGGGCGGTCGTATGGTATACGAACTGGCCGAATATAGCCTAGATTTTTAACATCTTCTTGCCTATGTTCTTATTTATAACAATTTGTTATCATAGATTCACGTTTTAGTTTACATGATTACTAGATAAACACTTTAAAGTTTTATCGAAGTTTAAAAAATAAAAATGGATATTAGGATTCGATCAGAGAGAAGTTTTCCAGAGCCGTGACCTAAAGAACTGACGCTTCTTTGTGCGGAGCAACTCCTTTCTGATCTCCCTAGCGGCTTTGTCGCGTAGTATTTTTTCTCTCCCTAGCAGCTCTGCCACGTAGGATTTTTCCTCCCTAGCGGCTCTGTCGTCGCGTAGGATTTTCCTTCCACCAATTGTTTGTGTGGCTCTTCTTCTCTAGGTTTCTAGAGTGTTTCTTGATTTTAGATCGTATTTTTAGGCTTTGGGATTTAGGAGGAGTGAGTGCAGCAACAACTTTTGGAAACGAATCCAAGGTTCAACAAAGGATAATTATGACTCCTATGGATGATTTAGAGCAGCGTTGGCTCAGTCTTGCAATTGAGGAGGAAGTTGGAGAGTTAGTTTTTGGCAAATCAGCATCGATAGAGGGCGGTGTTGGTAGTGGAGGCGGCACGGGCGAAGAGAGAAAAGGTGAAGGGATGAGAAAATGAGATGACAGATCGGCGGTCCGCCCCCCTCCTGAACCACCGCCTTGGAGCGATCGAGTTGCTATGGTTTGGAAGTTTTATCAGTTATTTAATTTTTCATGGTTTTATTTTTGCGTTATGTTTTACGTTGCTCTGTTTTTTGTTGATGTCTTTAGTTTTAGGTCTACAATAATCATTGACAATTCTGCTAGATATTATGTCGATGGAAGGATCTGTATGGACAGTGATTGCTGTGTCACACCCGCTTGGTGATTAGCGATTCGTATTGCTCTTTCAGGGGTGATTGTCTCTGAGTCTAGTCATAGGGGTTGATAGTGCTAGCTGGTTGATTAGGGATAATTGTTGTTAGCGTTAATCTTGTTGAATTTGTTGTAACGATCCGATTCTTTATGATATTAATATAAAGCAGTTTGTTTTTATGATAAAAAAAATTACTATATAAACTAACCTCTTAAGTTTCTAGTGCACTGTTAAGTGCATTATGATCACCTCATCCCACCAATAAAGAAGTCGTGTATGTCTGCTACAACTTAAGTTTTGCTGTATAAAATCCAATAACAATCACATCCATCTTATAGTTATTCTTATTCCTTCTTGAAATTATCACATACTTGACCCTTGAAAATGAAAGTCATGAAAAAAATGAAGCACTAAATGAATACATGCACAATAAACATGAATCACATTTTAAGCAATTCATAAAAAATTCTAACTACTAATTAGAAATAATTCTGGTCATAAAAATTTGACTTTCAATTCGGGAGGAGTGAACATATATCTTGTCATAAATAAAGAAGTTAATTAATTTTAGATCATAAAGCAAGAAAGATCAATCAACTAGTGATATTAAAGGTAAACACTATGTTTCAGTCCTTTAGTCAAATTAGGCATGTTGCTTTGTAATACATACTCAATATTATAAAAAATATCCAGATATTCATAATGTCAAAACTTTAAAAATTACAGAGTGTATATT